CGGCCCCTCTGGTCTCAGTAACACCTAGTTTGGAGGGCAGATGCCAAGGGCCCAGGAGGGGGTCTGGAGCACCCAGCCAAAGGGCCACTTGGGCACAGGTCTTCCTCACACCTCTCTCCTGTCCTGCACCCTCAGCCCTCTCTTGAGCCCTGACCTCTCCCATTCCCGGCTCTTCTTTCTGGCTCTGTCCACTCTCCCAGGGTCCTCTCTAAGACTTGACCTCCTCTTGCCTCAGTGATTTCTGAGCCAAGTAAATAAACCCCAGTGGCCACAGAGGCAGGTAGGCAGGCTAGGCCCAGAAAGGAGGGATCTGGCACAGCAGTTCCCTGGGTGGGCAGATGAGGAGGAAGGGAATGAGGTTGGAGGACGGTGAGGCAGGAGGGCCAGGAGCGGGGCAGTGCTCGAGAGCTCCTGGAGAGAGGCTGCCTCCTTCCCCCTGGACTCAGCCCCATGAAGGAACATGGCTGCTCCCCACACAGCGGAGCTTGCCCTGTGCTGCTCCCCGTTCTTCTCTCCCCTTCTGCCAACCTTTGAGGGCTGCCTGAGGAGTGGAGCTCCACCCAGGCCCCCCACCTGGATCCAGGTGGTTCCCAAGCATGGCTCTAAAGGCTCTGAGGGCCCACTTCCAGTCTGGGGAGAGGAGAGAAGGCACTGCTTTCACCTTCTTAGGCAGGCCTCCCCTGGCCACCCTGTCTAAGGAAGTCCCACCTTGTTATTCTCTATTGCTGTACCGTGTTCATTTCCTTCTTAGGGCTTATCACAGGATATAACTAGACATATAGACTCATTCCTTTACTTACTTACTTGCTCTGTTTGTCTCCTCCACTAGAGTGGAAGTTCCCTGAGGTCAGAGGTTGTGCCTATGTGTTCACTACCTCTCTGTAGCCAGCGCCTGGCACACTGCAAGGCTCAGCAAGTACCCAATGAATGGATGAATTGCTGAATGACTGGCTCAATAAATGGGGCTCCCTGGTTGCCAACATCTACCTTTAGGGTTGACGCTCAACAGTTCCAGGATTTCCCCAAGGAAGAGGAAGTAGGAAGTAACAGGAACAGCTAGGTCGGGAAAGCTCGGACTCCAAGGGAAAGCTCAGCGCCAGCCAGAGGCAGCACCTGCATCAGCCCTGTCTGGTCCACGCCATTATGCAGTGTGTGTGTGCGCACACGCACACGCAGAGGGGCCTGTGAGTGTGAGTCCCAGACAGGTCTTAGAAGCCTGGAGTTTTGTCTTGATTCTTCCTTTTAATAGCCCTGTGAACTTAGACAAACTACATATCTCCTCCTCAAAAGAAAAAATGAAGAGGTTGGCCCAGATCAGTGGTTTTCAAACGTGGCTTTGCACCAGAATCACCTGAAGCACATATCGAAATCCAGATTCCTGGGCCACACTCCTGTAGATTCTGACTGAGTTGGTCTGGAATGGGGCCAGAGAATCTTTATTTTTAGACATTTTCCAGGTGACTCTGAAGCGAATGGTCCAGGAATTGGCATTTAAGGACCACAGATGAGCTGGGGTTTTGTAAGCTGACATCTAGACTTCTATTAAAAAGCCACTGCTACACAGGTATACATCACCCCAAAACATGTCCATACATTCCACGTACCCCACACAGCACCATAAATGACGCAGGTGCACTCTATACAGATGCACAGCTGTACTATATGTGTGCATACTCCCAAGACACCCAACACAGAGCCACCCTGTGGATCACAAATTGCCAAGGAACCACCACATCAACGTACACAGCCTGGGACATACACACAGATTCCTACCACACACCCAGTGTGCCGCTCACACACATATCACATGCTGACCCACACTAAACAGACACTATCTTGAATTTATTTTGCCTCTGGGAACTGGTCCAGGACAAAGGAGCTATGCTCTGCTGATGAAAACATCCCTCTGCCTCTGCCACCCCCACCCCTACCCTTGCCCCAGGCAGCATGCTGTCCACTCCCCCTTGTAGGGGGAGGGCTGCTGGAGGAGGACAGTGGAGAGATGGGTTGAGGGGAGGCAGAGGCTGAGGCCAGCGACTCAAGTCCAGCAACCCCCTCTCGTCCCTTTCCCTCCAGGAAAAGCCAAAGGGCCTCCACCCAGCCCCCAAGTCAGTGCTCACTCAGGCCACTTGCCTAGATTCCCAGGCCCTGGTCTTCAGGAGCCAAAAGGGCTAGGGAGGTGGCTAGATCTGGGGACTCCTCCTAACAGTCAGGCCTCTAAGGAAAGGGCTGTCTGGGGGCACCTTCCTACAGCCCTAAGGCCTGGGGCCCCCAGGGAAGGTTACCACAGAAACGGGGGAAAATATTATAAGGAAACACAATACCCGGCAGGGTCACCTGCTGACCAGGCTTCCTGCTGTGTTGCCCACCCCCCATCTCACTGCCCTCATAGCCTCCTCCAGCCTCAGCCTGGGCCTCCTCACCAAAGCTCTCCTTCCTGCCCAGGGCTGGGGGAAGCAGGCTTAAGAGAAACTCTGTGGTTCCAAACAACATCAGGGATGGCCCAGAGCTGAGCCCCCAACTCTTAATCCCTACCAGCTCCCCCCAACAGGAAATCAAAGCTTCCTGCCCCAGAGGAAGTGCCCCATCTAGGGAACAAATCCAACACACACAAACGCACGGTTCAGTCCCCAGGAGCCTTGGGAGGACAGATGCCCTCCCCCCAGCCCCAGGCCTCACTCTGGCCATGCTTCCAACAATACCCCCCCCCGGAGGCCCCAGCCCCCCGTCTGGTCAGGGAGGGCCAGGGTATCGGGGGAGGCTGAGAGAATGGGCAGTGGCAGTCAGAAGTCCTGGTTCAGGCCCCACTCCGCCTGCCATTCCCTGGCTGGGCGACCCTGGGCCTTGTATGATTAGCTCATCTTCTCTCAGGCCCCTGCCAACTTCAAAATTACCAGCTCTTAATGAAAGGCCAGGAGAAAGAAGAGGGGGAGGAGGTGGGGTTACACATGCTTCTGTCTTCCAAGTCCTTGGGCAAGCATCCCATAGCTACAAGAGGGTCCCATCCCCATCCCCATCACACATGAACTTCTCATTTGCCCAAGGGTTTATATCAGAACTGAGAAAGTTCCAACTCCCATGCCCAGAAGCCACCAAGGACTAAATGTGAGGTCCATTATCCCTAAGGGAAGTTGGGAGAATGTAGTAGCACCCATACTGGACACTGCTTCATTTCTTTATAGTCAACCTCTCCTGCTCTGTGCTCTGAGAAGTATACTTGAAATTTTCTTCTCATTTTATTGGTGGGGAAACTGAGCTCGAGTATTAAGGTGAAGTGACCAGCTAAGATGCAACTTTCTCTCTGTCCCTGGATCCCAGCAAAAGACTTGGCAGCCAGACAGACACCCACCCAATGGGCTTGAGCTAAGGGACACAGAGGCCTCAGGAGAACACTGCCCAAGGTCCAACCAGGTGCAGCCGCACAGGAGGCAGCTCTGAGCTTAATTCTGAGCCTGGCCCTGCTGGGCAGTGAGGGACATCAGGAGACTAAATGCAGGGGACCAGTCCCAGTGGGTCCAGGACCTGAGTCCAGTCTGGCTTCCCTGGGTACAACGCAGTGGGACTGCTCTGTGCCTTAGTTTCCCTCAGAAGTGACTGCAGAGAAGAAGAAAATAACTAATAACTGAAGTGGGTAGAGGGAGCAGAGAGCAGGGAATGAGAATGAAATGCTACGCCGGGAGGGGCTGGAGAAGCGGCCTGGGAAGGTGTCAGAGGCTTGGTGTGAGAAAGGAAGAATGTACAGCAGCCTAAGCCACCTATGGAGTCCTGCTGGGGAGAAATGGGCCACCGAAGTACCCCATTAGAGGGTGGGGATCTGAGTCACATTCCCCTTTCTTTTAGCCCGATGGCTGGACAGGGGTCTTGAGGAAGGTCCCCAAGGATCCAGGTGCAAGATCGTGAGCTCCCAGCAGAGCTGCTAAGAACCAGTGCCCCATTCTCACCCTAGAAACTGGCAGGCAGAGGTGGGCCTCAAGCAGATGTTGATTAGGGGTGTAGGCAGGGAGAGTTAGCAGCAAGACAGCCAGTGTCCAGATGCAGGGGGAGGCTTTCGGGTGTGCAGGACAGCCAGCAGACACAAGGAATGGGGAGCAGCAATGGCTGGCCAGGTCAGACCCAAATGGGCAGCCAGAGGGGAAGAAATGGGAGGGGGGCACGGGTGGCCTGTAGGCCCAAGGTCTCTCTCCCAGCCCACAGGCATAGAAATTCTGCTCGTGGCAACCCAGCTCCGCTGCCTGGTTTGCCGCCTGCTCTCACACTCCTCAACACCAAAAGACCCAGGCCTGGGGGTTGCACATCCTGTCCCCACCCCTCAGTGCACAGCCTGCGGTCCCCACCTTCCCGCGCCCCTGCCGGCAGTGCCCTCAGCAGCTCACTTGGGCACAGGTGTCTCTTCACCCTGATGGGTGAGCAAGGGTGGGTAGGCGATGCTCAGAGAAACCTTCCAGTCAGGGACCCCTCCGGGGGGAACCGCTTTCGCCCGCCCAGGGATCTGAGTAGGGCCCTGCTCGGCTCCACGGGATGGGGGCGCTGATGTCCAGCCCCACAAGCCCGGCCCCAACTCAGTGGGTGCTGCCCTTTGCCCTCGAGCTTCCAAACCTTCCGCCCCAGAGCACCGCCCCCTCTCCGGGCCACGGCGGCCGTCCTCCGTCCCGGTCTCCCGGCTCGTCCTCCCCGGGAATAGGGGTGATGGAACGTCGGGCCCGCGCATCGGCGACCCGGGGCCTCCAGCTCCCTCCCTCGGGCCTGTCTCTGCCCCCGGGCGGGCGGATGTGGACGCCCCGCGGGAGGCCCGAGCCCTCCGGCCCCGGAACCAGCCCCGGCAGAGAGCCTGCCAGAGCCCCGCTGAGCCGGGCGGGGCGGGCGCGGTCGGGGGGTGCACGCCGGGCTGGGCTCAGGCCGGCCAGAGCCCGAGCCGGAGCCGGAGCCCGAGCCCGAGCCTGTGCGGGCGGCGCTGGGTGCCGCGCGCAGGGCGGGGCGGGGGGCGGCCGCCCAGTACTCACCAGCGCTGGGGCTGTGCATCCAGGGGCCGGGGCCCTCAGAGCGGGGGGCTCATGGCGGGGCGGGGGGCTGGGGCGCCGGCCTCACATCCCCCCAGTCGCCGGAGGCTGCAGAGCGACTGTGAGACGGCGAGAGGAAGGGAGGGGGCCGGCAGGGGGAGGGCCCTGGCAGCCCGGCCGGCCGGGTAGGATGACAATGGAAGGAAATGCTTTATCTGAGTCTGAGAGCGGGCCAAGGGGGAGGGGAGGGAGGGGGCAGGCGCTCGCGGCCCTGGGACACACCACCCCGGCAGACTGCACCGCGCGGCGCACAGGCGGGCCGCAGACACAGCGCGCGGCCGGATCGCGGCGGGGCGCGGCGCACCGCCCGGGAGGCAGCGCCGAACCCGGAACGCCAGACGCGGCCCGAGCCCCGGCCGCCGCGCGGCGCTGCGACCCGCGCACAATTCCCGGAAACCCAGATACCTGAGCGCACGCACCCTCGTACACACTACGTACACGAGCATGCATCCATGTTTACACAGGGCCAGAATCCTTGACACACACACACTGCGGCTTCGGGGAGGGACCCCGGTGCCCCGATCTACATACACGTACAGCCCGCAAGCGGACAGCCACACACAGAGACAGTTGGACACGCGTGGAGTCCCAGGTCCCACGCAAGGAATCCCAGATGGACACCCCCCCCAACACACACACTCTCACACACAAACACACACACAAGCACGACTTGCCTCAGGAAAGTTCCAGGATCTGATTTGAATCACTGCCCAGCCCTCCCCCACTGGCACCCCCCCATGCCTGCTGAGGGGAACAGAAGGGTCCAGCCTGTTCCTATTAAAAGAAAAAGGGGGTGGGGGTGGTGCGGATTTTGAAAGTTTTCTTTTTTTAAAGAAATTTCTCAAGGGATTTCCTTCCCTCCTCTCCTCTTCCTCTCTTCCTCCCATTCCTCTCCCTCCACATGCCCCCCTCCTTTCCCCCTCCCGGTCCCTATGAGTCAAACTTCAGCAATGTGCCCAGTGTCCCCCAGTGCATTACAGCGGATCACAGAAATGTTCCAGTCTGTGAGTCGGAATGCAGCCGCCTCCAGCCCTCCCTCAGCTAATAAACTCAGCTCAGGGCCGGCTTTACGCGGTGGCCCTCCCTGCCTCTCCCCCCAGCCACCCTTTTAGCTGCAGAGAAGGTCAGATTCAGGGGTCAGGGGCTGAGGACCTTGCCATTGTGCTTCCTGGCCTAGCCTATCAGCCGTGTCAGCCTCCAGCAATCTGCTGGGTCAGAAACACAGCTGCTCCTGGGAAGCGGAGAGGTCCACAACCCAGGGACACTGGGCTCTCCCGCTGTGTGAGGCGCCAGCAGGGAGCAGCTTCCCTCTGACCCCATCCTACCTTCTGCAATCCTAGGAACTCCAGAAGTCTACAGAAGGAGAAACTGAGGCAGACCCAGAGGAGAAGTCATGTCAAATTGGAAGTAAGAGTCCACAGTTGCCTAGGAGGGCTTGGCCATGCTGGGTGAACCTCTGGCCTTAGACTTCTTGTTCCCTCCGGCACAGCTGAGGGCTTCTAGCTGCTGCCCGTCACATGCTTGTACTTTCCCACTCCCTCGCCTGGGCTCACCATGTTCCCTCCAAAGTGAATGTCCTCCCCAGTCCCTTTCTCTTCCTCTTGAAAGCTTTCCAATCCTCAAGACCCACAGCCTATACCCCCTTCTCCAGGAGCTTTCCCTGATTCTCACAGCCAGAGGGATTCTTCCTTTCCCTTAAAGGACCCCACCCCAGAACTGTGTTGCTCTTTCTCTGTACATTGACCGTCACTCACCTAGTCTGCTTGTTTCAACTCTCTTCCTACTTCCCCAAGAGCATTCAAGAGTGGGTATCCCCACGCAGCTACTGCTGTAGTCATGGGTGCATGGCCTATAGCGTCTTGCATAGAATTCAAACTCGATGTGAGTTATTTGTTGAATTGGGACAGATGTTCATGACCTTCAAGGACCATCCTCCAGCTGGACACCCCCAATACACTCTTTCACCCCATAAACTACCTATGCTGGTAGCTGCAAGACACATGCTTTTCCACTCAGGTATGTCATTCCCAGCCCCCACTTCCAAATCAGATCACCCTCCTTCCAAAGCCCTCCTTGGCATGCACAACCACCAGTAAAACCACTTGATTACTGCAGACCCCCAGCCTCTCCCCTGCTCTCTCCCTCCCCTAGTCCTGTAATGCCCCCCACACGCACACCTCCTAGCTCTCCTGTAGCTATTTCTGTGCTGAAGTCAGACCCTTGTCTGCTCCTTTCTACCACGTGCATCATGCATGCATTTGTTTATGAGTCTTCTTTCTCGTTTTAACCTGATCACTGAGTTCTGAGTGATCTGAACAAAGGGTGTCTCCCTGCCTGTCTGTCCCCACAGTGCCTAGCATGTGGCTTTCTACACACACCTGGACTCACTGTGTCCAAAACATAGAAAGACAACATGTGCGACCTGCATCGGGGAAGCTGGACTGTGTCCTTCCTTCCCCTGCCAGATATACTTACCACTCCACCAGCCCCCGCCCCACAGCAAAGTCCTAAGCCACTTTCTAAGTCACATGTCCCCTGCCACAATATGTTAGACAGCCTCTGGGAACCCTTAGAGACATGAGACAGAAAGATGCAGGCTACCTCTCTCTCCTCTAGCCTGGTTACCATGGGAAGCTTTTTTAAAAAAGGCTCTTGAGTCCAGGCCTCTCACCACCTGCTCAGCTGAACACCTAGCAGAAGAGACTGATCCCAAAGGACCTGCCTTGGCTTCCTGAGTCTTCCCTGGAGTCTCTGGCCAGCACAAAGCCTGAGGGCACCCCCCTCTGCTTCCTTTTAGGGTTCTGGGCCTATTCGACCTTCTCTTTCTCCTTTTCCTCTCCTTTCCTTAGTTAGCTACTGTTTACCAACTGTTTACCATGTAGCAGTCCTTGCTATCCCTTTGACAAACATTAGATCATTTTATTCTTAACAATAATCTTTGTTATGCCCACAAGTATAGTGTGACCCATAAACATTAACCCTGACCAAAGTTGCACAACCAGTAAGTGACAGGGCCATTCATTCATTCAACAAATATTGTTGGGTACCTACTTTGTGCCAGGATTTAAAGCTTCTGGCACAAAGACACCTCAGGGCTCTGAGACCCCTCCTGTCCCAGTCTTCTAGATATGGGGGCTGCAGCCACAATTCATCCCAGTACCTGCACTTACTCTCACACATTCCCCATGAAGTGAACCAGAAAGTACTGCTTCCCCAAGGCCTCAGTGAGATCTCAGTGGACAACAATGGCATTGGCTTGGATTGAGCCTTATGTTCCAGTTTCTGGATCTGAGATCAAATGCCAATTCATAGGGTTTGGGACTTTTGGATTAATAGAGGAGGTGGGTCCCTAACTCCAAATAAAGGGTTTCATAGAACCAGATATAAGAAGTACAAGGAAAGAAGGAAGGGTGGAAGGAAGGAAGGGAGGGAGGGAGGAAGGAAGGAAAGGAAAGGAAGAAGGAAAGGAGGATAATGTAGGATTTATAGACCAGCCCCTGCATATCATGTCCTGTTCAAGGCCCTTTCACTTATGTCTCATTATGATCCCCATTGTTTTAGTGAGCAAACTAAAGCTCGAAAAGACAAAATGATTTGCCCAAGGCCACAAAGCCAGTAGGTGACTTAATCCCAAGTGTGTCTGATTCAGAGCCTGCGCAATTTCTCCTCTCAGGTCAAAACAATGGAGAAGCTATTGACAGGGTCTCCTGCTCCAGTGTAGCCTTGTTACTTGAGGTCCTAGCTGATCTCTGCATGTCATTCCAGATGCCAAGTTTCCTGCCTCCCTGACCCCGGCCATGTGGCCTCTCCTTGTTTCCCACCTTTCTCTGTTGCACTGCACAGGCAGGATCAGAGGAACTGTGTAAGTACTTTGGGGAGGGTTGGGGAGAGTGGCTTTGGGGTACAGGCAGGCAGCCCCCATCTAGGATTTCATGGTCTGAGACAAGAGGTGCCACATCCTTCTGGGCCAGAATTGACTGGATAAATCAAGAGGAGGCTGCAGCATGGCCACAAGTCCTGCTGGCTTAGGTTGGGAGGGGAGATGACCGTGGGGATGGGGGCAGGTGGAGAGAACTAAGTGAGTCCTTTCCCCATCCCCCCACCTCCCTACAGACTCAGCAGGTGATGTGGTTTCCCCTGTGGTCTGTTGCCCTAGACACCTGCAGTTCTGAGTATATGTGTATGTGACTATGTACCAACTATGTGGTGGGGGGACACAAGGAGAAAGCACTGGCACAGGATAGGGAGGGGCAGGAAGCCAAAGACAGGGTCTCCTCAACCCCAAGACAAAGAAGGTACAAAGAGTGCAAAAGATGGCAAAGGTCACCCGCTCCACTACTCCAGGTCCCCAGCCAGCAGCATGGAGAGAGAGCTGGAAGAGCGGCATTGTGGTTACCAGGACCCTGAGCTGGGAGTCAGGGAATGTGAGTTCTAGGCCCAGTTCTGTCATTAACTTCCTGGGTCACACCTTTCTAAGTCTCAGTTTCCTGCTCTGTAAGTAGCAATGTCTTGGCTTCCAACCTCATGGTGCTGGTCTGAGATCAGATGAATAATATATGCAAAAGTTTGTGCCACTGTTGAGTTTTAGAATTATTGTCCTGATAGCATCAGAAATATTACAGTTGCTTACTCTAGCCCCTGAATATACAACATACACACATGTACACACACACACACACACACACACACACACACACATGCCCCCAGAATGTGGAGTTAAAGAGCATTAAAGACAAAAACAAAAACACAGCCCAGACCTCATATTGATCACAATGTGTTGAGGAAACAAAACAAACACATAAAATACTTGCTAGCCTCTTACAAAGCCAGCTATGTAAACCCTCTCACTGTCTGTGTGACTGGCCAAGTCACAACCTCTCTGGGCGTCAGTTTTCTCTTCTATTAAACGAGGGGGCTGATTGAGATCATCTTTGCTTATTTTTCTGAGTCTAAAGCAGTTTTCTGATTGTGTTCTTCCAAGTGTAAATGAGCACATCAAAACAAGGGCAGACCAGAGGGGTCGGGCAGGGCACGGCCTGAATGAAGCCTGCGAACTGGGTTTGAAGAGCCCAGAAATGTGAAGCGGTGTGGGGAGAGAGGCGGGGGTGACATTCCAGGTAGGGAGAATGGCATGTGCAAGGGCAGGGCGAGGCTAGG